GATTTGTTCATTCGTCCTTTCATAATACTGTTTTGTGATAGATGATTTTCCGGCTGTAAGTATTTGTAGGCATATAAGCTGATAACTTGAGTTTTTACAACTTTCTGGATGTAGCGGTGTTTAATTTAAGCTATTTCTGCCTTCTTATCTTTGCATTGGTTTCTATTAAACTTTATGTACATATATGTGTGTCCACCAGTCACTAAAACTGTGTAAACTTAAAATGACAAAAGGTTTGCTCATGGTGGTATAATTTCTTTATTGTATTTTGACCATATTATTTCCTATAGTGACGATCAAACCATGCACAGCAACAGATCTCATGTCAATTTGCACACGCTGTCAAGCATATCAATTGGGAAATAATATTCTGTGTGAAAATGCCTTAATCTATTTAAATTTAACACTGCAATACAAAGTTATACTGCATCAAAAACATTATCAAACATAAAAGTAATGGAACTTCAGGAAGTTCAAAGCCAGAACAACTACTCTTGGACAATATCAGATTTTTAATAAATATTTATTGCAAATCACTGAGATCCACAACATGTGCATACTTTATACCACATGCAAAGAACTATATTCGCCCTTCAAAGACTTTAAAACAATGAGAGTGGGACAAGATAACATCCCAGCCTTGCTACTCTTATTGTCAGACGCACACATACATACACACTCATTTCTTCTGTGCAAGAAGGAAAGAAACTGATATAGATCTTAAACACTATTAAACCACATCTCAACATGAGAGACACAAAACTTACATTTCCCATTGAATACAATATCTAAGATTCTACAGAGTCTCCAATATGCAGGAAAATGTTTGAAAAAGGCTTAATAATGTATGTTCACTGTATGTCTCATGGGGTTTTTCCCTGTATGAAATGACTATGAAAATCTGCAAGTCAATATGAGAGCTATAGATACATTGTCAAAGCCATTTTAATCTTGCATTTAGTAGAGATTTTAACATCGAAGCGTAACATTAGTTCAGCTAAGATGACATACTTTAAGACTGGTGTGGACTAAATGTTCTTCAGGTGAACATTACAAAACGTTTTCTGGTCTAGATGGTGCCAATGATTGGTTGATAAGTTTTCACCTAAGTGAAGTGCACAGAGTTTTCTTGTAATAAAAGACATCAAACATCACATATTGTAAAAGACAGGAAAAGACTTTGAGGGGATACAAAGAGGGAATGGAGATGAAAGATGAAAACTGATTTCAAATAATAAAAAAATTGATTATATATAACGCTATTTATGTAACAAAGACAAGGATGCATTGAGGGTACCATCAGTAGGTGCCTTACTAAAATTGGAATGGACAACTACAGACTGATGGGAAATGTTGACATAATTATTGACAGGCAATGCATGACAAAACACAAGCTGATGTCTATGGCTAAAAATATATATGAATGAAAAAAAATAAATAAAGGAAGTTGAGAGATTTTGAAATGGCACAGACTGCAACACCAATGACAAATTATTTTTAAGTAACAGTTTACAAGGTCCTGCCCTTGACCCTGAGGTAATGGATCCTTGACTATATGGTTTTCCAGTTGTATTAAGTGCAGCCTTCATGCATCCATAACTGATGCCATAACTGTCTTTATTCCGTGCTTTAAAGTTGAAAAAGAACAAATATAATCAATTAAAACAATAAGAATAAAGATTAAGACAAGGGCTAATGCTGAAATTAAGTGCTTGTAGTTGTGAAGAATGCATTTTTGCAAATATTAACAAAGATTGTGAAGGAATTGCATTCAAGTGCCAAACAAGTAAATTCATCACAATTAAGACCAGGATCTAATTAACAAGTGAAGGGAATAAAGATGCAGTGGTTATTTTTGTAGTTATTAATGGTTTGTTTTTGAACAGTTTTGAAAATGGTTTTTGAACTGGTGATTCATTACAGCTGGGAAAAATGGTTGAACACATGTCACTCCCTGCAAAACAAACAACCTTAAAAACCCACAAATGTAGCAGGGCAACCATCACCACATGGAACATTATGACTCTAGATAAATTAACAATGCGCAGCATTCTGCAACTTGCTGACTGCAGGAATAAGGCAAATTCATGCAAGGCCATGAAACAATGTTTCATGTGTACAGATATTTACAAACTTATCTTTTTTTTTTTTTTTACATATTTATATGATTCCATTATACAAAGTCACATTGAAAATACTCTTTTACTAGCTTCAGCCATTTCATTCACGGTCTCAGTGATGAAATGCCACAAGTAAACAAATAATACACATTTTAATAAGAATGGATCATGGGAATGCTGAAGACACTAAATTATCATGATTTTTGCAGCAGGTTTTCTACTGAGCAACAAGAGCTCTTAGCATTCAATCTGTGATTGTAACTGCCTGCGTAGAGTTAACGTGCGACGATGTAACTGTTGCATTTGCTGCATACGGTCCCTCTGGCGTGCCAAATTCTGTGGCATTGGGTAACGCTGACAGCCATATAGAAAGCGGTAGGGAATGCGAACGTGACATGCTGTGGCACGGCAGCGAGGCTGAGGCATGGGCGGCAGAAGCATCCAGCGTTTGCGCTCAGCACAATAACGGTATGCCTCCTTGCGATACTGCTTATCCACATCGTCACTGTTCTTCCAGCCACCAATCACAAACACATCATCATCAAGATAGCAGATAGCAGCACCCTCAATACTAGTAACCTCTGGGGGAAGGCTCTCAAGAATATCATCAGATATCCTTGCGCTGATCTTCTGACGAGCTACATCGTCACGTACGTTAGTGTAGCTCTTGGGACAGCAAGAAGCCGTGTGGTAGAAGTTAGTCGATGCTACAGCCATTTGGAACAAGCAGTAGTTGTCGATAAGCGGTAAGGAATCGACTTCTTGCCACTGGCGACTGTCAGTGTCGTAGCGAGTAGTCACCGTCTTCAACCCATCATCGCTGTCAGTATCTATGGGCGTTCGCGCCGTGACATAAACGTATCGATCTTCGACACTAATGGCCTTGACGTCTCTCAAAATCTTAGGAGCAGATTCTAGGTTGTGCCACTTGTCTTGGTCAGGTTCATAGACACTCACATCCTTAAAGCCAGGGCTGAAGTTGCCATGACCGCCAATACTATACAGAATGTTTTTGATGCAGGTGAGGCCAAAGGAATGCTTGCGTGTTGTGAGGTTACTCACTTGTTCCCAGGTGTTGCGATTTGGATTGTAGCGTTCCACAGTCTTGGCAAATCCTGGCTCCATGGACCCAGCCACGTATACATGGGTATCAGTGGCCGCAATAGCGTGACCATCCAGATGGTTATGGATGTGTGGCAAATTGACCCAACGGTCTTCGTATACAAAGTACCCTACGCACTCACTCAGGTAGTCACCTCCTTCAGAGACTCCGCCGACCACCATGATGACATCCATGTTCTGGCCAAATCTTGGTTGGAATGTGGCCATGTATGAAGCCCAGAACTCTGTATCTGCTGATTTGAGGTTCTCAAAGCGGATCGCATGACCCTCCACAGCCTCTGACACAAGCTGTAGGCAGGCTGCATTCTGCGCGACCAAAGGCTCATTTTTCACAACTCTTGTAAGATACGTTGGCTTTATCTGTGGCAGCCTGAGAAGACGAAAAAGCTCCTCAAAATACTTTACCCGTTCTTCTGAGCTCTTTTGAACCCATTTGACCACTGCATCAAACAAAACCTCCTCAGAGTCAACTGTAATCTCTGCGTCTGACAGCCAGTCTCTGACCAGGTGGAATGGAAGCGTGTAAAATTCCTCATCCTGGATGACTTTGTGGAAGTTGCGACGAATCATGTCAGCAGCACGTAAGGCCAGCTGATCCAAAGTGTACATGTGTGCAAGGCTATGGACGGCCACACAGTTGCCCAGGCTGAGCTTCCTCTTGAGAAATTCTCCACAAAAATCCTTCAACTGCACAAGCAAGAACCTGTGAGTAGAAAAGAAAAGACATTGTTTTAGGCCTTACAAAAACCCACAACAAGAACAGGCAAGATATATGATGTGGGTGCTCTTTTGTTTTATTTGTTCTAGTAGTCAGCTAGGGCTGGGCAGTATGACATGGCGACGATATAAAATCAATAGGTCTAGAGATTTTTCTATATTGTGTATATCACAGTATCAAAATATATACACGCAGTGCAGGACTGTTAAAAGTTACTGACACTTTAAAGCTATAATATAATATATATAATATTTCACATCTTCGAATGCATTCATTATTTAGGCTATTAGTGCGCCAGCCACCCAATTATAACAGTAAGCTTTGTGCTTTTGGTACTTTTAATATAAAATAAAGTCTCAGCTTTCAAATTCTGTCAGTTTTATAATGAAATACAAACAATATGAAGGGCTCGCAAAAATGTAAAAATTCCAGGTAGCCCTTAGGGCAGGCACTCTTCAGATTTAGGTAGCCCCAAATGAATTTAACTAGCCACCAGGTTGCGCTTTTGGACAAAGACTATAGAATACCCAAGACGTGTCACTCATATAGTTTTCAATGGGGAAAAATGCAGCGCTCAATATGGCCACTCTATCGAACGAAGCCCCACCTTCTGAGTAAAAGAGCCAATCGCTAATCCATAAAGTCAGCACGTCACTGCAGCTGCCATTAGAAGCAAAGCCACTAGAAGGCAAGCCTGCAAACTTTAGCCAAAAAAGCGTAACGGCTAATGCTAATGCTTCCGGTTTGCCAGTACATGTATAAGTTGTTGGTTCAGGTGACTATACTACTGGAATACTTGATTCTGTTCTGCTGCATTTCCTTCCTTATAATGACTGTTGTCAATAGCAAAGCATTATAACACAGTGCACATCCATGTCTCTTGTATCACCGCGGAGGTGAGGACGCGTTCTCTCGTTTCATTCAAATGTAATTTGCCGTCTTGCGTCTCAGTTTTTGATTGTATTGAAAATGAAATCAGAGGAATTTAGTATTAATACTACTATAATATTGCTGTAGTGATCATATTGTCCTGACGATTGTTTTCTTCTTGCAAGATCTGCAGACAGGGTGACCGTCCTCGATTAAATTGCCTTCAGGACTCTTGTAAAAGCCAAAATACGACCAGACCTCCGATTTGGTCCTCTTAGATGGCCTCTTACCTCTTAGAGGTAACAGCTTATCATTTAATGCATCGACAGCCTATCAGCTAATCTTCAACGTGTTTTACACGAAACAATACTTTTGGATTTAACTATTTTTAGAGTTTACACAGAGAAAAACAAATGCCGTTTTATAAGAGAAGTCACTGACTTTTTGCGACAGGTGGGATTCAGCTTATGGCACTTCTCATTCATTCTTATGGTATCCGTAAACGGCGATTGAGTGTCGCACAACTCGAACTGAAATTCAATGATGTCAAGGCTATAATGTGATTGGTAAATAAGGCACACGTGATCCAAGTTAACCGTTACGCTTTCTCCAATAGTAAGTAATACAGACCCTCTCATCTCTCTATCCACAAGTTTCCTACGCCTCATGAGGCCTTGCGTCAAAAGTGGGAGCGTCTTCCGGTTCGTAGTAAACAAGCGGCACGTGACACTTATTCATTCAACAGTTGACAGTCAGTCATTCAAGACTTAGCGATCCAAACTTGCTAATGATGTGGGAAGGAACACAACTTCAATGAACTTAAAAAGGGTGAAATTACAGTACCTTTACCCTCCGCGGTAGATGGTTGGGAAGATGGCCTCGTATCACGTACGGTAGCATTTTTAGCTATTTTGTAGATTCAGTAACTTAGCCTGTGATGGTAAGGCTATGAACAATTTGAAAAGCTCAGAGGCGTATCAGTATCTACACAGTGATAAAGTCGGTCGGGTGTTATTTAATGATGTTGGAAACGACTAGGGATGTAACGGTATGAAAATTTCTTATCACGATTATAGTGACCAAAATGATCACGGTTATCAGTATTATCACGGTATTGTTAAAATGTGCTGGAAATGTTCAAAAAGTACTGACACACAAATCATTTCACCAAGTTTTACATTTCAAATCAACAAAAAACAAATAAAATGAGTTTTTGTTTGCATAACTAAAACAATAACATTGCCAATGATGTCCGGATTTTAAATGACAACATGACTGACAACAGTTTATCTAATAGCATGTTCAAATATCTTAAATGTTCAAATAAAGCTTT